GGAGCAGTGCATGATACAGTGTGTAAGGAGCATGCACTGATACAGTGTGTAAGGAGCATGCACTGATACAGTGTGTAAGGAGCATGCACTGATACAGTGCGTTGCCGCACACACCACATGACAAACCACCTCAGGGATGAGAGCCTGAGTGCAGCCATGCGGCAGGTGATACCTCAGCACCACACTACTCCAAATGGACCAGTGTGAGTTTTTTTCCAGCGGCTAGAGTGTCAATCCCCACCAACCCCCAAAAATTTCCCTGTAAGTAGAAGGACGTCCTTATAGGGCTGGATGTGGATTAACATCATACCCAGGACAAAGCTATTGTAGGTTAAGGGCCTTGCTCAAGGGCCCAGTGGAGTAGAAAACATTCCAGGCATTCACGGGATTTGAACCAGCAACCTACAGATCCCCAGCCTCACAGCTACCACACTGTCCAAACCTTTATTTATTATGTTCTGCACTATGAGCAAGAGAAATACATTTTCATATCACTGATTGTTGAACACATCAAAAATGACAATAAAACTACTTCGACTTGATTCAACTGCTGATTCATTTAAGAATTATATTCAGTGGCTGGTGACTGAATTCTTTACAACAAAATAAAAGTGATTGATTTAAACACAGCTGTTGTACTGATTAGGATGGGCCCCCTGGTTTAGTTCCTGGCAGTATACGCATATTTCCTTTACATTTAATAAGAGAAAGTAGGTCACAGCAGTTTGAAAAGACCTCAGCCTGGTTATTCTGGACCTTAAGGATCAAGGAGACAAGAAATGTTGCATGTGTCCAGCAAAACATACATGCAGAATAATTCAAATGGCATCAAATTTCAGAAGTGTCCCAGAGTTTTCCACCATCAGACGTGGTCAAAAGGGCAGGGGTACAATCAATTTCTACGTTATTCTCTGCAGCCAAGTGTGACCAGAGTCCCCAAGGCAACCGTATCCATTCTATCTCAGGGCAAAAAGCTTCGTTATCTTCAAAGCTATTTCTATGCAAATGTAATCAACAAAAACATCATGATTTATACAGTCTGTCAACACTGCATTATTAAACCCTGCATTGTGCAGACACAGGCCCTAAGTCCCATCTCCATGTCATCGATAATGTCTCTGTCATGTGGTTATGGGTGACCAAATTTCAATCGTCAAAAACTTCATTTACGCCTGACTATAAACATAGTTTGACATATCAGGCTCACACATTCATCCATCTTCCAACTGCCTATCCTGGTTAGGATTCTGTGGTCTGCTCCAGGTGGCACAGGGCAGGGGACACCCAGGACGGGATGCCAGTCCATCACAGGGCACAGAGCAGGGGACACCCAGGACGGGATGCCAGTCCATCACAGGACACATGCTTTCAAGTACAGTGGACAATTTATGGATTTCTTTTAAACCTCTTTTTATTGAAAAACAATGGTTAAAACATTGAAAACACATGTTTTCTTTCTAAAATAGAACAGAGAACCTCCCCACCCTCTCACAGGTGAACAGAGGTCCTCCTTCATGGAAGGTGTTGGACATTGTGTGTTTTATCTCTGCAGCCCGTCCACCTACCATGTTCCACTTCGGGAAGAGGAAGTCGGTTCCCATGTACTCAAAGAAGTGTGCGAAGCCCTCCTTCAGCCACACGTCCTCCCACCAGGCCGGGGTCACGAGGTCCCCGAACCACTGCAGGAGAAAGTCACGCAGAATTAAACACAAGAAGAAAGCAGCATGGCTCATTTTACCACAAACTCCTGCTTAAAATCGCCTTGCTGAAATGACTCCTGTCAGATAGGACTGATAACCTAATGAGGCTGTAACTCAGGACTGAAACAAAAAACAAAAAAACCTTTTTGTTCCATGTTCGCTGTCTGACTCACTAGAAAGATAGTAGAAAATCCTTTGGGGAAAAATCTTTGGGAAAAAGTATTGAGTGGGTCATTTTCCATCTGCTCTTCAAACCATCAAAGCCTATTTTGCCAATGGAGCGTAATGGGGTTTAATCTCTGGGAACTGCACTGACAAAAAAAAAAACAAAAAATAATATCCTGAAAAGCAAAAAGTATGGAGGCAGGACCGACTGCTTGTATATGTTACTTAGAATTTTTATGTATGTGATACTGCAAGCAGAAATTCTTAAATTAATTTAATATGACCAAATGAGAATAAGTTCCCACAAATTCTGCAAGAAGTCCATTTGATGGTTGGGTTTTTTCCCACCAAAATAGGTTTTATTTCCTAGCATGACAACATGTCACAGGTATTCCAAGAGGAATCACTTCCAAAAGCCTCATTTACTATTTATTTAAAAAATAAAATTAACGGTCATTTCAGGCATCTCTGTGTCCTGTCACAGAAAGATAAAATGGCTTTTGGATGTCGGCTTCAGCCTGCATTCGGATTTCTGTATAGGGTGCCTTACATTGTTTTAGTTCCATTCAGTTATATATCTTTGAATGTAGACATCCTGATTCCCCAGTACTAACATTTGACATTTAACATGTTGGGAGGCGAGTTTCTTGTTTAGTCTTATTTGAGTACAACTGCCGACCAGAGACGTCCGAATTCCAATAATAAACGTCGGCTGGCAAACAAACTTCACAGGCACAAATAAAAACCAGGCATCCATTCCGGCTGCTGCCCAGAACCTGTTAAATATAGATTCGTATAGATTGTTACACGGAGCTCTGTAAGTCCAACACCATCTCTTCCGCTGAGACACTCTTAAGCAAAACACACTGCAGTTTGCTTTGCAATATGCTTGATATCAGACCCTGCAAAGCTTCCAGCCTCCATCACAATGTACTTAAAAAGTGGCCATTATTTGGTACATCTCAATCATTACGACGGCACGATAATCAGGTAAGCAGCAAAACTTGTTCTGTCGACGTGTTTTAATTATTCATCTGTGAAGACATGCTGGACTCCAGTGAACACTAACGCAGTGCAGGCTAACACAGAATGTCAACCAGGAGAACCAACATTTCTGCTAATACCACAAATAGCAAGTATCTTTCCCCACTGTAACTAAACGCCATACAGCTGTAACCCGTCAACGGACTGGATATAAAATGGTGAAAGATGAACACATTCATTTTCTTTATTTGTCAGATATTTTGGAGGAGAAAATTGAAATTCAGTTTGCAATATTAATGCTCCTGTTTACGTCCATTCTCAAAAATGTTACAAACGACTGTCTGGTGCATCATTTAAACATCTTCTGAAGGTATAAGGCAACATCCTCTCCAGACTAATGTCAGCACAAATACTGTAGTTAGTGCTGCAGTCAGCTGGAAAATAAGAATTCAACATGATCGCCGGCCGAGGATGTGTAGACTGGCTCTCGAACCCCACAGGTAAACAGGAGGTGAAAGATGAAAACATACACAAGAGGAGAAAAACACACCCCTAACCAAACGAACAGGTGACAAGAAGCAAAAGCATCAACCGCTTGAACAAACTTAGCAGTGACCAAGAGCATCGACACTGATCAGACTTCCAACATTCACAGCTCACTTTCCGGATGTGCAATTCTCCCCAAAGATGACGTTCAAGTCTACAGACACAGATTATTTTGAGTGTGTGAGCTCGGTTGCAATGATCAGCATCTTATGTTAAAGACTGAACTCATTAATTTTTTTCCCTAAACTGGGAAATTAACACATAAATACTAATGAATGTTGACTATATCAGGTTGGAGTTTTTATTATTGTCAGTATTACCGAAAGCAGGTGGGCTTCCCAACCCCAAAACCATGAGTCACTGAGACAGAACCTGCTAAAACAGGGGCCATTATTCATCTTTAATTGAATTTTAATTTGCGTGCCTCTCTGACAGGGGCTGCTGTTGCAATCCTATTAAACCCCTGTTTTGTATATGCAGTCAAATCTACATGATTAAGTGTCATTTTCGTGGCTCTTCTTAGCGTTGCTCCAGACATACGTAGTGTTGATCGACACCGTCTAACAAAGCAGATGATGTGCATGCATTATCATCCTGATCCACTGAATGTAATATTCCGATCATTTTTATTTTAACTGTGGAGAGATTATGATTAAATAAACACTGAGAGATTATCACACCCGGCAGAACCCAAAATGCATCAAAGCAGAACGTAAGCATGAGAGACCAAGGCGTAGAGTGGAGGTTACATTCTGTAGACATCAAAGGCCTGTGTGGGCGTGTACATAGAAGAGCTGATTCTCAGAAGGTCACATTGAAAGGAACCATCTACAGTAATCTACTCAAAATGACTACATGCTATGTTACATCTATCCATCCTTTAACAGCTCAGTCAGGGTTACAGGAGCCTAGACCTAGGAAGGAGTAAAGGCACCAGTTAGTCCAACTGCAGGAGAAACCAAAGTACTTGTAGGAAACCTGCGGGACATGGTGAGAACGTGCGGATTCCACGCTTACACATTCAAACCCTCAACCCTGGATATGTGAGGCAATGGTGCTCCACATCCAGTCAACATGATTTAGGACATCGACTCCTTCTAGCAAATATTCTCTATATATCTAGTTGTGTTTGCTATCTGAGATTTATATGGCTAATATTCAAGCGGTGAGCCAATGCACCAACCTGTCATTGACCAAAATTGGTTCTTGAGCCCATTTCAGCTAGAAGTAGCTTTGAAACTTTAATGCTTCTCACTTAATTTTCTTCACAGGCAAGCAAGAGATTTAGCGACTCCGATCCTATCTGAAGAAGCGACCCTATCCCATTTACGCCCCAAGTCTGTTCCCAGTTGTCCCCTAAATACAGATATGGCTGTCAAGTGCTATGTGGGTCAGAGCGGACTGAGCACGCTGTGCTTCCTCAAAGGAACAAGAGCAGGTCCCATCACATCCACATCGCACGCCATTTTGTGTGTTCACTTTAAGCCTTTGTACCCATGAACAACCTCGGATTTCTGCTTAAAAACAACCATATTAATAAAAAAAATTACCAAGCGTGTAGGGAAGGAATGTACACGTTTACAGTAATTCAGCAGACATTTTTATCGAAAGCAACATACAGTACAGCAGTCCTGGAGCAAATGCAGCCACAGGCCTCAGGTTACCCAGCCAGCTTTGGGATTCAAGCCCACAACCTTCCAGACATAGAGAGAGATCCCTAAACCTGTAAAGTACATGTATGCATGCTAATCCCAACAATGACGACCTTAATCCCTACCCAACCCTAACCAAAGAAAATATAAGACTTTCAGCATTTTTAGCTTTATTATTACAGTCACTGATTTTTATAAAATTGAGTTTCCTCTTGTGGGGACTGAAAAATGGTCCCCACAACATCAAAATAACAGGTTTTTATCACATTTTGGGGACCTTCGGTCCTGATAATGTAATATATACATAACCCACCCACACAGAGAGAGAGACACGTCCAGACACACACGCACATGCACACACACATGCCTGATTCCTCTTTTGACGGCTGACTTTGTGTCAGAGTCTGACTTTGCCGCATTAGCTGTGCACCTCTAATGAACTCTCCACAGCACCTTTATGACATAATGTTGAGTAAGGAAACCTTTCCATCTGGATAAAAGCAACTATTAGTCAAATCAACACCCCATTGTAACCCCTGTTCTTGATAAATGTTTGTAATAGGTTTCCTTAACAAAGGAACCAGCACTCCTGTGTTTCATAAACTGCAAGGCGTGGTTGTAATTACACTGCACTTTATCTGCATTTACAGCCATAAATAAGACAAGCATGTAAAGTGAGCTGACTGGGCAGCTATGGACACAGACCACTAAGGTGATCGCATGGTCGTACCCTTGAGCAAGATGGAAAGAACATGAATAATGTAAGAGGTTCGGTTCTCCGCAGTGATGGGAAAAGAGAGGCAGAAGACTGCGGGTCAGAGAGTCCCATGCTGCTGAGATATCGGGGGAGGGGGGTGGTACACTCTGACTGAATGGCTGAAGACCCAGTAGGACCCCTTTGGAGCGTAATGGGGTTTAATCTCTGGGAACTGCACTGACAAAAAAAAACAAAAAATGGTCAACCAATTTGACAAAATGGCCCGTTTATTGGTGTCCAAAAGATGGATCTTTCATTAATCTCCCCCTGATCCAGGGACCAGCTGCCCCTGCTTTCTCAACAAAATGTGCTGGATTCTAGATAAAAGCATCTGCTAAATGAATAAAAATGTAAATGCAAATATTATATTTTTTTGCTGGGTTTTGTGGCATCGCAGGATTACAAGGTGCATCACCGTAGCTTCTGTGAGGGCAGAGGGACAGCCTCTCCCTAAGTCAACACTCCATGACTGTGAACATGCAGACCAGCCGCAGACCCTCCGATGGGGAAGCATATCTGTATCCAATCAGGTCCATGAAGCATATCTGTATCCAATCAGGTCCATGCTACACTTAATGGGCAGGTTACTAGGTACACCGGCTTGTTGGCACAAGCCACCTGCTCCGCCAAACAGTGAATCATGTGGCAGCAACTCAATACATGCATCATGCAGACAAGGTGAAGAAGATAAGGTACGTTTTGACTGAGTTTTGGATTCTGAACATGCCGTGACTGTTGGTGCCACCCAGGGTAGTTCCAGCTGCCCTCCCGGGATTTTCATGTCAATGACTGCAGTTTTACAGAGAATGGTGTGATGAGCAAAAACATCCAATCAGTGGCATTTCTGTGGCCAAAAATATCTGTTTAATGATAGAGGTCAGCGGAAAATAGGCAGACCTGTTAAAGCTACCAGGAAGGCCTCATGTGCAGAATTTACAGCTCGGTTCAGCAGTGGTGTGCAGAACGGCTTCTCTGAATAAACAACTCCTCTAAGCTTGAAGCAGTTCTGGAGGCAATAGTGGGTCCTACCTGGTACTAGCTAGGTATACCTAATAAAGTGGGTCCTATCTGGTACTAACTAGGTGTACCTAATAAAGTGGGTCCTCCCTGGTACTAGCTAGGTGTACAATAAAAAATCAGTCCTATTCAGTACGAGCTAGGTGTACCTAATAAAGTTTTTTGCGGCAGATTGTGGCAGATATTCTTGGTATTCCCACTATCCCCATTCTTGCAGATTACCACGGATGTCCTCGGTATTCCCGCTATCCCCATTCCCGGAGATTACGGCGGATATCCTCTGTATTCCCACTATCCCCATTCCCGCAGATTACGGCGGATATCCTCTGTATTTCAGCTATCCCCATTCCCTCAGATTACGGCGGATATCCTCGGTATTCCCGCTATCCCCATTCCCGCAGATTACGGCGGATATCCTCAGTATTCCCGCTATCCCCATTCCCGGAGATTACAGTGGATATTCTCTGTATTCCCACTATCCCCATTCCCCCAGATTACGGCGGATATCCTCGGTATTACCGCTATCCCCATTCCTGCAGATTACAGCGGATATCCTCGGTATTCCAGCTATCTCCATTCCCACAGATTACGGCAGATATCCTCTGTATTACCGCTATCCCCATTCCTGCAGATTACGGCGGATATCCTTGGTATTCCAGCTATCCCCATTACCGGAGATTATGGTGGATATCCTCAGTATTCCCGCTATCCCCATTCCCACAGATTACGGCGGATATCCTTGGTATTCCAGCTATCCCCATTCCTGGAGATTAGGGTGGATATCCTCTGTATTCCCACTATCCCCATTCCCGCAGATTACGGCGGATATCCCGTTCCCGTGCAACCCCACCATGACCCTACACCAGATAAATGGTAATCAAACTGAACCCTCAACTGTTCTGAATCACATCACCTTTAAATATATATACAAATGAATTACTATGTTAATGCCAGGACTGCAAAATGCTGGAGAGATGGGTCCTTACAAATCACCTTATCAATCAAGAGAATTTGGGCCAGGATGCTCTGCCTCTCAGCTTAGCCAGCTGCCGGTTTCGAGGCCTACAGCAGATTGATGGTGGAAACATGCTTTATTCCCCTGTCAGGACAGACAGGCCTGTGTGGTCACCTACCTGCTACCAGGTTCAATGAGTAGCTATAATCAGCCATGCTGCTGCACTAAAATCGAGTCAGTTTTGCAGAGGAGTCTAATCATTATTTTAATGATCTTGGACTATTTAAGCTTGTATAATGTGTTGATTTTTTTGTATAATCATTAAAAGAAGGGGGACCTGCATATCCAGGGTACCCTCCTTAGAACCTCGTTAACTAAGCTCATTATATGACTCTCCTGACCTCTTCTCATCCTTTCGACTCCGGCTCAGAAAGCCCAGTACCACAGAATGTACACTCCCCAGGCTATGATCTGGAAGGTTCTCTGATTATAAGTTTGAAGCATGTTCGGTAGAGTTTACATGCATCACAAATACAAATATCCATATATATATCAATACACACACACACATATATATATATCCATACATTGATAGGCAAGTCTGTTAGTTAAGGATAAGAACGTGCCTTTAGCTACCACTTGCCCAGGGAGCCACATCTTGTTTACTACAAAGCGCATCAATTAACGTTCAGATGTCACGTACACTCCAGTAGCGATGCTTAATCTTTTAGAGAAACAAACAGGCATGGAATCTGGGACTATATCGCTCCTCTCCGCCAAACATGTAGAATGGAAGAGAAAAAACTGGAGGCAGAACAAAGCTATTAATGTCGGATCTCGGTAGGTTCCCAAGACATCAGAGAGCAAACGAATATCCTCCCACATCTAATTAAAAATGGCATCTCGTTCCAGATGGGCAGCACAATGGCACGTGCTTCCTGAGTTAGAGCCGGTCTGCTCCCGCTTTCCACTGTCCTGTGATGGACAGGTGTTCAAGACGCACATCTCTACCAAGGGATGTGCAGCCACTGCAACAAACATGGTTCACATCCTCACAAATGGTACAAAATTTCCCGCCACGCACAAATATTAAATTCACACAAATTTGCAAACATTCAGCAATAAATCTAATAACCATCAACAGACTTTACAGTTGCTTTGAAGCTGCTTTTATGGGGTAGCGGTATTCAATAAATAAATTGAGTAACTTTACCCGTGAGATAAACTCGTAATAAATGCATGCAAACTGAAGAGAAATTTGGTTATCTTGAGCTGGAGAAATTGCCAGTTGCATTTCCCTGCCACATGTAATCAATCAGCCTCCGCTGCTGGGATCTTCCGTCTCCATGACGACTTTCAGTTATCATTTCATTATCCCAGAGCAGGAGACTGAATGCAATCGGTACCAATCTGCTTTCTGACGTAGGTTTAAGTGAGCAAACGAGTGTTCTGTTTCCTACCAGGAAACATCAGAAAAATGAAATGCAAACATTAACCATGCAATATAAACAAACCACAGAGCTTCTTAAAGTGATCTCTCTGATGTTTTCCACTGAGTCATCAGTTTAAGTACATTTCTGAGTCACAAATCTTCCATAGTTTTATATCTGATGGGGGAGGGGGGTGGGTATCTACTTGTCAACAAGTATGTGTCACAGAACCAGATTAAATGTCTTTCATGTGCTCTCTATGGAAAATACATGCATGGTTCTCTAAAATACAATTTCACAAGAAATTTTAGGGATCAGTTTGTCGTTTCTGAGGCCTCATTGATAAAGACACTATAGGCCCCCCTCCGTCCCCCTACTGTAGTTACATTTTCAACCAACAAGGGGAACGAACCTTGGGGCCCTCACGCAAATGTGTGGTTTAAGTGGTGGCAAACACTACCGCTGCCCCTACCAGATTAAAGATAAAATTAAAAAGCTTTCTACGATTACATTATTCTAACTAAAAATTCCAAAGCACGTAGTCAAACATTTCAAAGTGATAATAGGCAGTTAGTTGAGAAGCTGCCTTTTTGAGTGTGATGCTGTTCCAGTGGATCTAATCACTGGAAGGGCTCCTCAGGATGAAAGCTAAATCTGATCTTCACTTTCTTATCCCCTCATTAACCTCAAGAGGGCGCCTTCCTGGCCTAGATTAATCATCAATGAGCATCCGCAGTTACAAAACTGCGGCTGAGAGGTGCTGAAAGGCACTAGCGCTAACCTGTATTACGGCATTCCAGACGCCGTAGATGGGAGCGTCCGAACCAGGATCAGATTCCCGACTGGCAGTCATTTTTGCAGTTAATGGCATGTGATTGTCTTCCATCGATTCCCCAAACACAATTACTGTGAAACATCATAGATCTTCCAAAGGAGCCACGTGGAAGCCCTGACGCTGAGGACACCTCACCTGGTGACAGATCTCGTGGACCACGACCATGGTGAGCTCCATCAGGTAGGAGAAGGAGGACACCTTGGGATCCAGCAGTACCTTCTGCTCCACAAACACGCTGAGGCCCCAGTTCTCCATGGCGGCATAGGGGTGCTTTGGCACGGCCAGCAGATCTGCGGAGATTCACGGCACGTTCAGAAGTAGAAACGCAGCAACTCTCTCATTAAACGAACAGATTAATTGAACCTTTATTTGCCATTTATACACGTATGAGAACAGGTACACTGGAATGCGTTAGCTGTCACATATCCCATCATGCTCTCCTGTTTGTCTCATATCCCATCATGCTCTCCTTTTTTATGACAAACACATAGGTGGGAGTAAAGCTTGGGGTCTGAGCACAGTCAGCCAATCATCTGGCACCCCAGGGCATGTTGTTTTGGGGGAGGTGGGGTGGAGGGGGTTAAGGATGTTATTCAGGGACTCAGTGGGATGTGGCTACTCAACTGAGCAAGGGATTCGAATCAACAACCTTCACAGGCACAGAGGCCTAACCTGCTGAGACACAGCAACCACCTGCTATGGTCTCGTCAGCATGCAGCTTGTTGATAGGTGATGTAGAGAGAATAGTTCAACAGTTACTGTATTTAGCCTTTTCACTGATATTTAAAGAACTTAGTAATTGTTATTAATACAATTTACAATAATGATTACATTAAGGACTGTGAGAAACTACATCATTACTGCAATTCTAGTTTTTTAGCAGATGCTTTTATCCAGAATGGTGTAGATAATTTTGAGAGAGCAGAGTCAGACAGTCTCTGGAGCGATAGGGGATTAAGGGCTATGCTTAAGGGCCCAATGGTGACACCACTGGGAATCAAACCAGCAACCTTCTGATCACAAACACAATGGCCTAACCCACTGAGCGACACAACAACCCCCCGGTGGGATTCCCTATTTGGCTCATCTTGCTTCCAACAGAAATTCCTGCGTTTTCCACGTGATGTGCAAAAAAAAAAAAAAACGTGTTTAATAAAAGAAACTCCCACAAGGGGTGTGACAGCAGGGCAACGAAACCATGTGCGAGGTGAGAATTCACAGCTATTTTCCAAGCAATATGGGGATTTGGCGAGAGGTTGGGAGCCTGACGGAGACACTAATGACATCAGACAGTATCTCATTTCTCATAAAGTCAAGCCCATATCAGACACAACACAACAGACAGAGAGAAGTGAAAGGGTGGTGATGTGAGAATGCAGAATGAGAACCAATATCACGACACCCTGACAAGTTAATATCCCACGAAGCTAATATTGGCCTGCCAGAAGTCATCAATCTGCAGTTTTTTCCACACTAAAATTATTACAGAAGGCCTTGTTGATTGGGTGTTCCATAGTTGAGAAGCTGTTGTACACCATGACTTATTGAACCAGGTAGAGCGACTCCAAAACGGAACATCTAGCAATTGAAGGGTGTTTTCTGTAGACTGACATGTTTGTTTGTTTGTTTGTTTGTTTACTGGACATTTCTCAAATATGTCAATAAAAGCTCTGGACTCTAAGCTTCTGACATTGGTTAATGGATATACAGAGTGGAAAGACAGCAATAAATCTCGATCTTGGACAGAGAGTATGTGAGAACATGGATGAATGGATGGATGGATGGATGGAAGGATGTATGGATGGATGGATGGATGGATGGATGGATGGATGATTACAGCTTCTGTAACCCGACAAGCTGCTTCTACCGCAATGTAATATTGTCCCCAGATAATGTTTTTGCAGGTCATTTGAATACCCATCCGAGGTCAATGGTCACTAAAGCGATAAAATGGACTCTCAATCCACATGCCAGACTAAGAGCATGGCTATGGGAGGGGGGTGTAGATTCATAACCCCCCCACACGCTAAACCGAGAGCCTCGACAGACTCGGCAGAACTCATCGACGCCGAAAGCCAGCAGATGGGAACGGTTGTTATTTTTCACTGCGAAGACGACAGCTTTTGTAGAGACAAAAGACAAACTCACAAAATCACAAAAATGACAAATTATACGGAGCTTTTTATTAAATTACCTTCACTGCAGAAATCAATAATGAACAGTGATGTCCTCTCAGCTCATTACACTTCTGATTTGCTGTTCTGATAGGAGCAGGATTTATTTTTGTAAACAAACTCTCTACTCCGTCATACAGTAAAGGCTTTACAGGCCTCATTAAACACCTACTCTTAAAATACACCTCCTTCGTAGTTTCCATCAAGCGTCACTCCTGCGGTATCAGGTATTCAGTGCACTTGCTTGGTTTAGGTGTTTTGGGAGGAGGGAGGGACAAAATCGTGGACCGTCTGGGGTCCCGAGGACTGGGTTATCGTCCCAGGCTATAACCTGGGGTAGCCCACACACGTCAAGGTGTCAAACCAGCCGTTCAGAGTAGCTCACTGAGAACATGGCAACAGACGGCATCAAGATGAGACCTGCGATCAGTGAGAGGAGCCCGCTTTCCTAACTCCCAGCTTATCCAGCCTTATTTTATATTGGATTTTAGCCTCCAATGAACCCACAATCAGTCCAACAAATATAATCAGTGTTATACTTTTTAAGGCCAAAACAGAGCTAAATTTCAGTCTCAAATCAAACAAAACGAACACAAAATCAGGGGTAATTCTAGGATTGTTTAAATTGGGGGGCATAACAGGGACCTTAATCTATACGGAGGGGCCAACCTTATCGTTAGCCAATGGAACCCTTTGCATTGGTGAGTGACAGGGGAGGGAGCTCTGTGAGGGCCAATCAACTTTCAGCTGGGGCCAGCGCCCTTGTGGCTCGCCCCTGTATACACCCTGTCAAGTGAAATCAATGCAAGCAGATGGTGAATCATGAATAGTTTATGGCCCTGGACAAAGAAGATTCCAGTTGTGTGGGAGACAAAGGGAGGAGAAGCAGAACCATCACAGCAATGTCTGTCTAAATAGTGACAATTCTTCATATTTGAATGCTGAGCAGTATATGTGAGTCCAGCCCATCATGGCTCTCAGCCCTCCAGGACAGCTGTCGATTAGCGTCAGGCCGAGAAGCAGAGGAGGTACTATCGCCTCCAACCTCTGACCTGGACACAGTAACACCTCCATCATCTCCTCTCTTACTAGGGAGGAAATACCCACTGTGCTCATTCCACAATTTACACGCCTGCGTGAGGGAGCGGGACCTTCTGCCGAAACGCACTGGCCTCCAGCGAGAGCCTCCCGTGTCCCTCACAAAATCCTGACCCAATTACCCATTTCTACCTCCCGGCTCTCAGCGCAGGAGTAGCTCTGTGGGTGGCAGGGCGCGCGGCCCCCCCTCCAGCGAGCTGCGCCGCGCCGTACAGTGCCAAGTCTGCGGCGGTGAGCCACGCGGAGGCAGATCCCCAGGATGGAGTCACTAATAGCTCTTGGGCTGGCTGGCCGGCTGCAGGCCCCTCCCCCCAAGGGAATCGCCCCGGTCTGCATCCATTAAAGCCCCTCAGTGAGTCAGAAATCCCACTGTAACCCTGCGCCCCAGTACTCCTTGCCTTTCCCCAGATGTCCTCTTCCCTGATTCAGATCGCAGTAGAACTCCTTATCTGTTAGCGGTATCCTCGTTAGCGCTGTATCTCCGTTAGCAGTATCTAGCCCCGTTTCTTCATTAGCAGTATCTCTGTTAGCCTTATTTGCTCTGCCTATTTTTCCACACTCCCCCCACAACCCCTGTGGCTCTTCAGCATATGCCCCCCCCCCATCCCCCGTCCCCGCTGAGGCCCAGTACCCCTTCTCTCCGACCTGTTCTGGCACTCAGTGCAACTGGCCAGATGCAAATACACGATGAATCATCATCTCAACGATGGGCTAATTTTCGGCCCCATCGAGCACAAATTATCCACAATTAAACGGGCGATAAAGGAGGACGCCTCAGGGTTACCCTCCCCGGCGTCACCTGGCCACGGCGGACCCGAAGGGAAGCCAGCAGCCCGGTTAGTCAGTGTGTCACCGGAGCACAGTGTCCCTTCAGATGCGCGGATCTCCAGCGTTTTGGGAATGCCGGATTATGGGAATGCCGGATTATGGGAATGCCGGATAGGCCGTCTGACTGCATGTAGGCCCAGTTAGTGCCCCATGCTCACAGGTACCATAACCAAGAATAAATCTGTAAAAGAATAAGAAAATAAATGTTGAATAAGAAAGTGGAATAAAAATAAATAAAATAATAAGGAAAAGAAATTGAAAACAAAGCAAAAGAAAATTTATGTTTTTCTTAACTGCTTTTAATTTTACCTGATTACATATAATTTTATCAAGCGCTCATATTCTATTTTGTTTCTTTCATCTGACACAAAAGGTGTTACCCTTGTATGTGACAGGTTACAGTACACGTTTTAGTTAAATCGTGGTCACGTTTTATTCATTCCAACTCTTGATATGTTGAAACTTGGGCACGTTTCACTAAAGGCACTTTCACAAAGCAGAAACTTCTCCTGGAACCCTAATCTTTTTCTGGAACCAGGGACTTCTTCACACTGCAGGAACTCGACTGGATTGTAGTTCCTTTGGAGGCAGTTCTGGACCTCTTTTAAGTACCAATTCTTTGTAAGTACTGAGCTACTGAGGAGGCAGAAGAATAAACTTGCTGACTGATTGACGGCAAGCACCAGTGTTAACTTGGAAGTGCAGGAAAACAGATCAAAGTAGCGAAGCAAAAACTGAGCAGACGGAATTTTTTTTGCACCTCTATAGTGGAGCTATAGATCTGCAAATGTGTTAAGGCGACACATCTTATTGTCAGTGCAAAAAAGTGTTCTGCTGTAAAAAAAGAAAGCCGCAATTTTCACCTAATTCCGAATTTTTATATAGGCTGTTTTTTTTTTTTTTTTTTTACAAATTGTAACTGTGAAGCATATTCTTAATCATGCGTTAGGGAAAAGCCATGCTTCTCAGTCTCATACTTCATGTCTAAGGACTCTAAAAAACTATAAACGTCAAACTGGAAGCATGTGTTGGCTTCTTTCTACAGTTATTTGCAGTTATTGTTGACTAAAACTGGTGAAGAGTTGACATCAAAGTGTAAAGCTGGTTTGAGCAAAACCAAGATTGAGAAATTGAACATGCAAACCAAAGCTAATTAATTTTGTTCTGTTCTTCAGGCAGTGTAATTAACA